AAAACTTAAAAAATCTTCTTTTAAAGAACCCAAAGAGCTAGAGCTAAGATATTTAGCATGAAACATCTTCTAATGAGTGTCTACCAAGTTTGTTCAAATAAAAGCCCTGGGGTCAAAATTGGCCCCGCCCCAGGGGGTCATTGATTTTCCCTATATGCATATAGTAAAAACTAAAAAAATCTTCTTTTAGAGAACTCAAAGAGCTAGAGCTAAGATATTCAGCATGAAACATGTTCTAATGGGTGTCTACCAAGTATGTTCAAATAAAAGCCCTGGGGTCAAAACTGGCCCCGCCCGGGGGGGGAGGTCATTGATTTTCCTTATATGTGTATAGCAAAAAGTTAAAAATCTTCTTTGGAAAAACCCAAATAGCTAGAGTTTAGATATTAAGCATGAAACATCTTTAAGTAAATATCTACAAAGTTTGTTAAAATAAACGCCCGGGGGTCAAAACTGGCCCTGCCCCAGGGGTGTCATTGTTTTTAACTATATGTGTATAGTAAAAACTTTAAAAATCTTCTTTTAAAAAAGCCAATGAGCTAGAACTTAGATGTTTAGCATGAAACATCTTCTTATGGGTGTCTACCAAGTCTGTTCAAATAAACAAATAAAAGCCCTTGGGTAAAAAGTGGCCCGGGGGTGGGGGGGCCTATATACAGGTGAGCGACCTCAGGGCCATCATGGCCCTCTTGTTTATTAATAATAACATGGGTCAAACGGTTAGATATTATGCTAAACTTTGAAAAGAATCTTAAGATCTATACAGGGTGTTTATATTGTTGTTTCGTTTTTACATTGACTAAATCTTAAGTCTTTAAAAATTATGAAGTTCAATAAATCCTATGACTTAATTCATCTACAGCTTGCTGAACAACAGGCATTCTCTAACAGATAGTCTCTCCCACTATGAAATATATCAGCATACCGTATATTGGCACCCCACTGATTTGTAGTATAACACACTTCCCAATACACAGCTCCCAATATACAGCTCGTTTACTTCCAATAAAGTGACAGTATCATCTGTGCGTATATAGTTAACACACATATCTCACTGTTTTATACGTTACGGGTATATATGATTTGTTTACTATTTAAGACTAAATAATCTATGTTTCAACGATTGACTTATTCGCAATCTTTGTAATATTTTTATGGTGCACCAATAACGCAAATGACGACAATTGATTTGATACTCCAGAATGACCATGAACTGTCAAGTAAGTACGATTTAACTGCCTGGTAAAACATTGATTTCATGTGAATATTTTATGAGGTTTGTATTGTTTAAATAAAGATTCAAATAAAAATTATTGCATGTAATTATAAATCGACTACTTTATGAAATCAAGAATTGAGTAATGCAAACATAAAGAAAGGCTAAACTGACCTATTGTTATCCGTCATTTCAAACAAGCCTCTGTTAGCAATGTCCTGAAAAAATATAATTTAAAGACGATATTGCATTATTCCATAAAAGATCAATGATTATGTTTGTAAATACATGCAAAAATAAATGATAATAATAATATTGAGTTCACATTCATAACAAAATTAGAACCGATTCCAGTAAATTCGTAATCCTAGACGAAGTGAAGCCGATTCCGGTAATCGCTCGTCGATTCGGTAGTATGGAAGAAATCATAGATCACCTTGTTTATTATGCAATAGCAATTGCAATAAATGTTATCAAATATCATTTGAATTGTTTGTATTTAATAAAATATGGCAAGATATTTTTTTAAAACGCTGAAATATAACAAAATAACAGACTAATTCCGGTATTTACCTGTTAATACAGGCACTATGATAGTAATTAGTCTATCTTAGATATCCAGTTTATAATAAGAAGTGACCTTTATTTCTAAAAAAATCTTTTTATATCAATTATATTTTTTTCATTCAATAAAATAACATAAAAATAACTATAATATACAGGCTGATCACGCCCATCCTTCCCCTATATCGACAGAATGACAGTAATTCGCCGATCTTAGGTCTCTAGTTTTATTAATCAAAAGCTAATTTATTTACAAAAATGAATATCCTTGAAAATGTTTATATCTTATATAAAACATGCAAAAGAAATATTCAAAAAGTTCACAAATAACCAAATTACAGGTCGATTCCGGTAATCTATCGCCTATTCCGACAGGTTTCCCGTTTTTGCCGATCTTCAATTTGTATCTTTTTATTATTTATAACAGCAATTTTTCATAAATCTTTTGCTTCTTTTCAATAAACATTATAAAAATCTTTTAAATTGTTTGTATTTAATAAAATAAGTCAAGGTTATTTTTCAAACGTTGAAATATTGGTGGGGAAAAACAGACCGATTCCGGTAATTGTCCGATAGCCCTTGCACTGCATATAATTATGCGATATGGCAGTAATTCGCCGACCTTAGATCTCTAGCTTATTATTTAATAATGATTCTTCATTTACAGAAATCTTTTTAGATATCTATTATATTGTTTGCAATTTTCTGGCAAAGTCCATAAATTACAATAATACAGGCCGATTCCGGTAATCATTGGCCTATTTCGGCTGTATGACAGTATATGTAACTCGCCGATCTTCGATTTCTTGCTTTATTAACCAAAGGCGAATTGAAATTTACAAAATAAAAGAAAGAAAGAAACTTTCAAATATCTTTCATAATATTTATATTTTATAAGATGAATATTAACAATGCAACAAAAACGTAAAAAAGTACAATAGACTAAATTATACGTCGATTCCGGTAATCCTTCGCCGATTCCGACAGTATGGCAGTAACTCGCCGATATTAAATATCTTGTTTAATTAATAAAAAGTGATTTTATTGACAATAATCTGATTACATATCATTGCTATTGTTTATTTATAAGCAAGGGTGCAAACATAATTTGTTTAAAGTATATAGATAAGCAAATTACAGGCCGATTTCGGTAATCCTTTGCCGATTCCGGCAGTTTGCACGTTTTCGCAGATCATAAATATTTGTTTATTATTATCATTATTTAAAAGCGATTTTTTTTCACAATCTCTAGGAAGATTAATGATAATATTTAGGTTTTATAAAAACATGCAAAAGGAACATTAAAAGTTGCATAAAAAACGAAATAACAGGCCGATTCCGGTCACGGGCAGTTTGGCAATAGCTCGTTGATATTAGATCTCTTGATAAATTAATCAAAAGCGATTTTATTTACAAAAATCTTTTCATAAATCATTGATATTGTTTATATCTTATAAAATTGCAAGAAAAAACTTTAAAAGTTTAATTATTACAAAGTTACAGGTCGATTCCGGTAATTCACCACCGATTCCGGTCGATTTCGGTAATTCGGCCGATTCCGGTAAGTCGTGTAACCCATATATGCTTTGATAATCTGGTAACAATTAATAAATTGATAACTGAACTCTAATTTAATAAGACCTACATTTTATTTCTTCTATTAACCTTTAAAGAACGAAAACAAAGCACAAGGCATAGTTTTCTGATTCAAAAAAAATAATTTTTTATCCAGACCATGAAAAAAAATTTGAGTAGGGGCAAATTTTGTGAGTCGGTCGCGTTACTGCAAACAAACATTTTTTTAAGTATGGCCCCATGATGATAATCCTCAGACAGTATAGCAATGTACAGGAAATGGTGACAGAAATCGTTTAATTGGTAAATGTAAGTGAAGTTAATAATTTAGATGAATTAAAAGTTTAGTTATGTACCCCCAGAAGATTTCTGAGCGAAGGTGTCAAAAACTGTAAGCAATTGGATCAATGTTTCAGCTATTTTTACAAAACGAAAATTATTGAAATAGCTAAATGTCCATTCAGACATAGCTTTATGCTGTTCTGTAACAAATTGAATTTACAAAGTCTTGTTACTTTAAAAAAAGATAGATAGATGACATATAAGTATTTCATGTGTTTTCAATGACATACTCACATAAGAAAACTGGAAACCATGCAAATACAAATGTATTTGGGGATATTAATAAAATGTGTACTGTACTATAATGATAAATATATGTGGGAAGTTGGGAACATGATTCGAATGTGCCCATCAGTGGTTTAAAAATTCGCATTTAATACACACCCCAAAGTATCGGCTGTGTTTCTTGTTTTCATTCATGGCTTTTAAACATATCAAATACAATGTATGTTTCTTCAAACAGTCTACTTTGTCCATTTTCCACTTGCTCTGTCAGATGAGCAGACATACATGTGAACACTCCCATTTTTAGGGGGAGACTCCCACTTTCTGCAGTCATATTTTCAAAGATTTTTCTTAAAATAAGGGGTATTTTCACAAATCAAAGGAATCTCCCTTTTTTGTTGTCAGAACTTCCTTCTTTGTTCAAACAGTCTACTTTGTCCATTTCCCACTTGCTCTGTTTATTGCAAATTCTAAAATCTCCCTCTTTTTGAAGAAAAATCTCCCACTTGATCATTGGAAAAAGTTCACATGTATGTGAGCAGACCTTTTTGTCCTTGTCAATACTTAAACATTATATGTAAATATTAGAGGTTGAATGGAAGTTTCTAAATGTGTATATAATTCATTAAGTAATTAACACTGTCAAACTTTATTTCAATATCCTCACAAATACATTACATCACCTTACTGCTGTAACAGGTTAACTCCTTACATAATTTAAAATTTAAAAAAGTTATGCCATTACTGCACAAAGGTTACAAATAAGTCTTTCTTATTAACCAGGTTTTCAACAAAATCCGGTTATTTCTTTTTAAAATACATGGAAGGGCATGTTGCAGGACCTATCTATAGATAAATGAATTATATCATGACAAAACCAACATAGTGCGTTTGGGACCAGCATTTGCGCAGTCTGATCAGAATCCATGCTGTTTGCTTACAAACCCTATTACAAGTAGAGAAACTGATAGCGAACAGCATGGATCCTGATCAGACTGCTGGTCGCAAACCCATTATGTTGGTTTTGTCATGACGCGGCTCATATCATGTTTTTTTTTTCTTGTATTATAAATTGCAGTCATGAAGATCTGAAGATAATGCTGGATAGTAACAAAGATTCACAGAAACTTGATGCTATGAAGAGAATTATTGGAGTAAGTATGAAAATCAGGGATTATCCTGAGTTTAAAAAAATATGAATTAAAAAAAATCCCCTAAGGATTGCCAATGAAATTCTCTGAAATGCTCTGTGTTGAATTTTAGGCTGTCATTTTTCACAAATGATTAAGAATATTTTCTAAGTTTTTAGGTAGCCCAAAATACATTGAGACAGTCATTTTGGTCTCAAACTGCCTCCTTGTGACAATCAATGCCAGGGCCAAAAAACCTTTCTTTGTAGAGGCCAAATATAGGCTGCTTCCCCAATCAAACTAGCCTCTTTTTTACCACAGTTTGGTCCTCAAAATTCCCCAGTCTTTTGAAATTTCCCATAGAATTTACAACAAAATTAAATGATCTTGTTGAAATAAGGTTTTTTATTGTCTTATATCCCAGTGCTTTTTGCTTTTCTATTCTCAAGAACTTGTTAAAAGTTTGTGTTAAATTTGAGACCCCTTTTCCCAAAGTATGCCGAAATAATGCATATTTTCCCCCAAGAAAAAAGCTGAGGCCCCTTCCCAAAAAATGGTGTTTTGGCTCCTCTGAATGCTAAATTGCTTGTGATATTTCTAATAACACTTAAATTTCTTTATCCATGGCGGAAATTTTATTGATGAATTGATGCAATGTTGTTTGTTATTCCTAGTATCAGATCAGGGCCAAAACACCTTTTTTGGGGAAGGGGCCTTAGCCTTTTACTTGGGGAAAATAAGCGCGATTTTTGCATATTTGGGGAAAAATTGGGCTGTTTCATAATCGTCAAGAAAAGGATATATAACATTAATATGGAAAAATAATTAAACAACATAGACTCTCTTATAACTAAAAAAACCAATTTTATTCATTGATTCTTGATTTATAATAACATTTCCCTATTCTTTCTTGATTTAAACTCATCCACCAGAGCGTTCTCTGATCTCTCGGACTCCGTTTTATCAACAATGACAACATCATCAACAGCACATACACTTGGGGTTATTATAGATGTTGAAATATGAATTTTTTTCAAAACGGCTTATATTAAGTTTTTTTGATATATATGATCAGTACATGTGCTGGGATTGACAAATATGCATTTTATTTGGATTTTAAAGGCGTTTTGAGCTCCAAACCCCAAGTGTTTGTGATCAACAGTGGTTGAAAAAGTACACTTCTCTCTATCTCAATGACTTTAGATCTATTGGTATCTGAAGGTGTATCTGATACTTTACTTGATTCACTTACGTTTTTCTTTAGAAAAAAAGCCGTGATATTTTTGGTATTTTTGGAGTCGGACAATTTAATTTTTTTGTGTAATATGTCCAGTTATGCGACATTTTTAACTTTGCCGTAAAGCAAAAAATTTAGTTACAGTTCTACTAATGAAAACGATTTAAGTACTCGAAATTATTAGTTAAACTTCGTACAATAACTTACCTTTGTAGCGGTAAAATAACTGTAAATATCTTTTTACATCTAAAGATAGATTTTCGGTTTTTTACTAGAGTTAAGGTCATCTATTTTTAGCTTTTGAAAAAGTACAGCGTCATGTTTCGCGAGACAATGAAATGTTAACAACTATTATGCATACCCCTCTAGGGTATAATACAGTATATTGCGTCATGCCTAGCGAGTCAATGAAATTCTATACGATCAATGTGCACACCCCTCTAAGCGGATATTAATAGGTCACGGTTTATTTTTACATACAGGGATTTCATGTTTTCAACGCTGTTCGGAAGAAAGATTGAAGAAATCTTGAATATTTTCCTTTTTTTTCTGTTAATTCAGTTCTTAATTCTGCAGGGGATTTTCAAGCGATTGGGGAAATTTTAAGACCAAATTGGGGAAAAAAAGAGGCTAGTTTGGTTGGGGAAGTAGCCGATATTCGGCGTCTTTAAAGAAGGGTTTTTTGGCCCTGCAGATGTTTGTATATTTAAAAATTTGGGTTTTCAAAAGCTATGAGATTTTTCATGTATCCCATTCAATATGTAATACACTGAATGATATTTTAGTAATTTTACAACTAAATATTTCAATAAACTTTAAATATTATATTACATACTTTATGGGTTAAAACAATATTTTACAACTTAAACTTTCGATCAGCATTAAATATGTATGTTACATATTCTTTAGATAAATCAGTGTAATATTTCATCACATTTGAATTGTGAAAATACCAGTCATTTCTCCATATGATAAAAAATGTATAAACAATAATCATCTATATTTTTTCTTAAAAAAGTTCAAATTTAATTTTTTTCATAGCTGTGGGCTATTGTTCTTTCACGAGTTATATGAGCTGTGCCATAACAAAACCAACATAGTGGATTTGCAACCAGCATGGATCCAGACCAGCCTGCGCATCCGCGCAGTCTAATCAGGATCCATGCTGTTCGCTTACAAAGCCTATTATAAGTAGAGAAACTGATAGCAAACAGCATGGATCCTGATCAGACTGCGCGGATGAGCAGGCTGGTCTGGATCCATGCTGGTCGCAAACCCATTATGTTGATTTTGTCATGGCACTGCTCATCTGTAGTATTATTGTATCGTGTATTTGGATTTTTATTCAGATGGTGGCTAAAGGCAAGGATGCCTCAGACTTATTCCCTGCAGTGGTGAAGAATGTGGTCTGTAAAAATCTAGAGGTAAGTTTATAGCCATCCTTTACCACATCATTTTAGGGGTCATAACAAACACTAATGGGCTGATTTTGACTTACTTGCCTGTTTTTATCTGAAGCATTTCTTAACTTGTCCGTCTGATATTTATATAGTAAAATCTTGAAAATTGCAACATGCCTCTACAGGCTGTGGGACAACGTGGGCAATATGGACAATTGATTTTGCTACCCCTGTTAAGGGGTGATAACAAATGTTAATGGTATATTGACAGAAAGAATGTGTTATTCTATTTCAGTAAATTATATAAAATGATAATATAATAATATAATAAAGCCATCAAAACATATTGTAAAAATATATGAGCCGCGGCACAATAAAACCAACATAATGGCTTTGCGACCAGCATAGATCCAGACCAGCCTGCGCATCTGCGCAGTCTGATCAGGATCCATGCTGTTTGCTATCATTTTCTTTACTTATTATAGGGTTTGTAAGTGAACAGCATGGATCCTGATCAGACTGGGCAGATGCTCAGACTGGTCTGGATCCATGCTGGTCGCAAACCCATTATGTTGGTTTTGTTGTGACGTGGCTCATTATTATAGATATGATAGATTTCTCTATTATCACCTCCACGGTAATCATTATTATTTTACTATTCTTCAGCAAATTTAAACATTTTTCATATCTTGTATCTGCATTTACATTCTCTTTATTAATATCTAGAATTTAAAAAAAAAGTGGTGGCTTAATAATCTTGTATTACAAATTTGTCAATTTTAATAATAAACTTATTAAAATAATGATTAGAAATGATTCTTGTCACACTCGCATCAACAAAATATTTTATAAATAGCACATGTCTCTCAGGGTAAAAGTGCATATTAGCAATCCCAGAACTGTATGAACTATAAAAAAATAATATGAGCAACCGGACAATATTAGCAACCGGATAATATAAGCAATCGGAGAATTGTATGCTATATTACCTTGAGAGACGTGCTAGTTTCTTAATCATACCGAACTAACATTTCAATGTATTTTTCCACAGCTATGCATTATTACTTGGAGAGCAATTCGTCACTGATTTTTTTTTCATACTTATGCAGGGGAGAGAACTAAAATATTTCATTTTCTTAAGTCAGTATAGATTACTTGCCCTTGGGAAATATTGCCAAAAAAATCTATAACCATTCTTTTTTAATAACGTCAGGTGAAGAAGCTTGTGTATGTGTACCTGACAAGGTACGCCGAGGAACAGCAAGACCTTGCCCTCCTATCTATCAGTACATTCCAAAGAGCTCTCAAGGTAACAAGTGTTCTGACATATTTTATAAACGCAGAAGTATTTAAAGGCCCATTAGGCCTCAGAAATCCATATATGCCTTATTACCATTGATTCGTGACTTCCCATCAATTTATGACTTTAATAAACTGTTAACTAAGAAGTATTTTGTGTTCTATATAAAATACTAATTCACAATAATTATACCGATTGCAAACAAAGCAAAGATAGTTCATCTATATGGCAAATGAGTATATTTTGAAAACTGTAACAAGATACCAAAAATTTAATGTTCTTGTGAAATAAAAAAACGATAGCATTTCTGAGGCATAAAGGGCCTTTAAGCAAATACATATAAATATTCATTCTTGTAGACAAAATATTTGTCTATTGATATCATACTTACCTTTCTAAACATGTTAAATGGACATGTCTTGCGTAAAGTTATAATTTTTTTACTGCCACTATTTTAATGCGATCTGGTCAGGCTGTATGTATTTTCAGATTACGTCTTTGACTTCATTTTAAATTCAGGTCACTGGTCAGTTTGTAAAGAAATTTTTAAAAAAAGATTTTTGTACATGAAATAGGAATTTGAAAGAAATAAAATCCTAATATTGTATACTTGGGTAAAGACAATTGTGAGTATACAGTGACTTTGTGTCACAAATTAAACGTTTGTAAGATAAGGTATAATTGACATTATAGATAAATATGTATTTTTCAACACAGGATCCAAACCAGTTGATAAGAGCAAGTGCCCTGCGTGTATTGTCTAGTATAAGAGTACAAATGATCGCCCCAATTATGATGTTGTCAATTAAAGAAGCTGTGATGGACATGTCGCCGTATGTCAGGAAAACTGCGGCTCATGGTATCCCTAAACTATACAGGTAATACTTTGAGATGTTAGGGAGTATCATACTGGCTGAAAAATGTTAACATCATCTGATATTTGGCCAATGACCTTTAATGTAATATGTTGAGAATTATTTCAAGTATATTCACCCCAAATTTGTCTGAACATGTTTATAAGTATGAGAGATTGGTTCATGAAGAAAAACATTTGATTATGGTTTATACAGATGTTGTTGTAGTCTTTATTGTCTCAAAAGTATCTTCCGACTAATTTCATGCAAATTTAAACAACAGTTACTGTTCAATTGAATAAACTTAATAATAATGAGCAGCATCAGACTGTGCGGATGCGCAGGCTGGTCTAGATCCATGCTGGTGGCAAACGCATTATGTTGGTTCTGTTATGACGCGGCTCATATATGTTTACAACTAATTTCATATAAATTAACAACTTCGATTAAATGAATAGGGATACCATAAACCTGGACGTATGTACAATAAGGCCCCCACTGTTACATGTTTAAACGGATTCTTAACGATTTTCATTTGTAAACAGTTAAGATACTTTTACCGTTTAATCGAAATAACCATATTGTCTTACAAATTATCTTAATCATTGACTGTAATCATGGATTTTATCTATTCTAATTGGTTTATTCCAAAGTAAAAATGGAAACTGGGTGTTTAAAACCCTCCACACAGCATCACCGTGCAATAATCGTTTGTGACGTAATACATTTTTGGTAAAGATGATTAATTGATCTTTTAAATAGCGAAATGGGGACAATGCAGAAAATATGTGCAGACTCAATCGTGATGAGTCCTGAACATTATTTACTTGTACATGTATTTAAAATATAAAGTAAGTAATCATTTGGCGACTCAAATACATGGTGTGGTATAGTACATAGAAGTACCACCGTTTAAACGGTATCGTGTAAATGTTTACAAAAAATTGTTAGCGTGGGAGCCTTAATGTACACAGGTCTTACATATAGATTAAATATTTTATTTACAGTGAGACTTTTCTGTTTCAGCATTGATCCAGAGTTGAAAGATCAGCTCATTGAAGTGATTGAGAAGCTTCTGGCAGATAAAACTACTGTAAATATTTATTTCTTTATAATAAACTCTATGTTTTTAGTCAGTTCTCATCAGGGTGCCCTCTCGAGCCTGAAAAAATGCACAGAGGGACACCTGAAATCTTGCTCCACCTATACTTCAGTCTTGCGAGATATCAATTTTCCAATGTTGCGAGTAGAAAAATACATAGCCTCAGAAAGCTACTACAACATTATTTTCCTTTTATTATAAACCTTTTAGTTTTATTCAGAGAAAGTGAAATGTAGTTGTCAAGAAATAAATTCATGTCTGACGGATGAATATGTAATTCTTGCAAAATTTTGGTACCCGTTTCCAAATGCAATGTTTTTATATATACAAAGCTGAGATCGGAACCAATGTTAAAAATAGTCTGACACTTCCATATATGGTACTGTATTTGTCACTAACATAATATGGAAATTTCTATCCATTGAAGCGTATTTGCGCTTCAAGATTTTTGTGTATTTTAGGGAGAAAATTTGTAGGTATATAATAAGACTTTTACAGAGTTTGGTGCAACTTAAAAACCCAACCAACAAAGCAAACAATTCAATGCTCAAAAACAGATTTATTTTTGTTACTATTTAACTTTACTTTAGGCTGTAAATAAAGAACAATTTAAGGCTTTAGAAAAAAATATTGAGCAGAAGTGTAAGAAAAAGGGACTTTGCATAGAAATGAAATAAAATTGTTGGTAAATTTTTGGAAAGTGATATAAATTATTGTAGCCAGCAGTATGTATCAGTTGTACTTGATGAAGACATTTTCAGTCTTTTACACATTTTGCTGTTTATTTCTCAGAAGTGGTGCATCAAAAACATCTGATAAATACAACAATTTTTAGAGTTAATCAAACCTTACCACCCTAAATATCTTAAATGGACTCTTCCATCTTTCACTTTGGACAAGACCATCCTCGAGATTTTTAAGGATTTTACTCTAAAGTGTCTACTTTTCTTGTGAAAGCAAATTTTGATTTCTCTATGGTAAATTTCTGTTGTTTATTTTCCGTAGCCATTGCCGAAGTACTCTTCATTTGAAGATGATCGGGAGAAAGCACATGTCATGTTTCTTAAATATACATGAGGTTCTCGGGGTCGTTTCATGATTATTTTACAAAGCTGGATCACTCTACAAGATGTAACAGTTTAGTTGCAATGCATGATAGAAAACTTTAAAAGAATGAATAATAAGCAACAAGAACACCGAGTCACATGGAGTAGACTTACTTTTAGCTGAATAGAATCCCTATGAACTTTATAAATGTCACGACAAATTCGCATTCTGAAGATTCCTTCATTGCCAGTTTCTATCCAGTTCCGTAGATCCCAATTTTTTACTTTAAAACTCATGCTATATGACATGACTCCTACATTTTTGGTGATCCAGACTTTTTAAACTGATAATCTGTCCCATTATTAAAACATTGTTCAATTTGTGGAGCTATCTGGGTGAGCAAATGAAATATGTAAATGAAACACATCATAATTCAGCATGTTCCAAATCCATAATTCAAGAACAGCCCATCAATTTTAGTTGTCAACATCTCAATAGTTATGGATTTCTGACGAAAAAACTTTATTATGTCAACAACAATTTACGAAATATATGACAAAAATGCCTCGCGCTTTTATAGATGATTCCAGTTGCGGCATTGACAGAGGGCGGTTAGGCATATGTAACCTCAAACAGATAATTTTAAGCATTGAGATAAATTTGTCTTGATGGCATTTGAAATAATTTTTGTATACCCAGATTTTGCAACTTAACTGTAAAAATTACACTTTCAATTCATATATTAATATTATTTAAAATATTTAATTTTAAACACACTTAATGACATGAATCTACAACAGCACAATACTTCTTCCATTTCATATAACATTTGTTTTGATTTTATGTTTTTTAAACAATTTTATATATTTCTCAGAAATAATTTCCCTACATATTATCTCGTTATTCAAGACATCTGTAAATCCTTCTCTTTTAGCTACAAAATATACAATATGCGGTATTTTTTCTCCCGCAAAAAATATGCTAGATCTATCGTTTTTTCACTGAATATTTTCAAATTTTAGGAAGGCTTAAATTATTGAGAACGTCACTTGGTGTTTCTCTTTGACTCGATCTACCCTTAGTATTAACAAAGTAATTATATGTAACACTTTGAATCTACAAAAAAAACACTTATTGTCGCTTATTGAACACTCCAATTCAAACTTACTCTTAATAATATCAAATAACTGCCGGTATTTCTGGACATTTTGTTTAATTGTGAGACGGAAAGTTAAATCTGTATTTACGAGCTTAAAGTGTATATGCCTACGTTTGATTGCTCAAACTAGAAAGCATGTTATTATATTCTTATAATTTACATTTTCCTCGAACACGAGTCTGTGTTCTCTCGTTAGCGAGGGAGTTAGTTAAAGTAGACACTGTGGTAACAGGCAAACCAATGTTGAACGTGTAGTGAGTCAGTTTTCCTTTCTTTATATTTTTTGTCAGATTTGCATGATAATGTAGTATTTGTTGGTGATTTCTTGTGAAAGTTGAAACCTACGGAAAGTTTAAGCGCAAGAACATCGCACCCGAAATAAGAAGGGTAACATATTTTTGTATCCCATCGAACCTGGTCAATTTATTTATTTTAGAATAGACGTGATACACACAGAATTCAGACAACTACAGAATTATGTAAATCAAACATTAATTAGCGAAGAACCATTTTTTAGCTCGACTATTCGAAGAATATGAGAGCTATTGTAGTCGCCCGGCGTCGGCGTCGGCGTCGGCGTCAGCGTCCGCGTCGGCGTCTGCGTTGGTTAAAGTTTTTTGTAAAGTCAAATATCTCAATTATTACTTGAGATATTCAATTGAAACTTACAATACTTATTTATAGTAACAAGGTACATCAGATTGACAAGTTGGATAACTCTGCCTACAATATTGACAGAATTATGCCCCTTTTTAACTTAGAAATTTTGGTTAAAGTTTTTTGTAAAGTCAAATATCTCAATTATTACTTGAGATATTCAATTGAAACTTACAATACTTATTTATAGTAACAAGGTACATCAGATTGACAAGTTGGATAACTCTGCCTACAATATTGACAGAATTATGCCCCTTTTTAACTTAGAAATTTTGGTTAAAGTTTTTTTGTAAAGTCAAATATCTCAATTATTGCTTGATATATTCAATTGAAACTTACAATACCTATTTATAGTAACAAGGTACATCAGATTGACAAGTTGGATAACTCTGCCTACAATATTGACAGAATTATGCCCCTTTTTAACTTAGAAATTTTGGTTTAAGTTTTTTGTAAATTCAAATATCTCAATTATTGCTCGAGATATTCAATTGAAACTTACAATACCTATTTATAGTAACAAGGTACATCAGATTGACAAGTTGGATAACTCTGCCTACAATATTGACAGAATTATGCCCCTTTTTAACTTAGAAATTTTGGTTTAAGTTTTTTGTAAATTCAAATATCTCAATTATTGCTCGAGATATTCAATTGAAACTTACAATACCTATTTATAGTAACAAGGTACATCAGATTGACAAGTTGGATAACTCTGCCTACAATATTGACAGAATTATGCCCCTTTTTAACTTAGAAATTTTGGTTAAAGTTTTTTGTAAAGTCAAATATCTCAATTATTGCTTGAGATATTCAATTGAAACTTACAATACTTATTTATAGTAACAAGGTACATCAGATTGACAAGTTGGATAACTCTGCCTACAATATTGACAGAATAATGCCCTTTGGAACTTAGAAATTTTGGTTAAAGTGTTTTTGTTAAGTCAAATATCTGAATTATTGCTTGAGATATTCAATTGAAATTTAAAATACTTTTTTATAGTAACAATGTACATCAGTTTGCAAAATTGCATAACTCTGCCTGCAATATTTGCAGAATTATTTGCCCCTTTGAAACTTAGAAATTTTGGTTAAAGGTCTTCAAAGATATTTACTTGAAACTTTACACATGCACTTAGGGTCATAATTGGAGGCTGATTCATATCCCCTTTTCTACTTAGTCTCTTGGTTAATGTTTACATGCAAGTTTTACATATCTCAATAACTATTAAAGATATTTATTTAAAACTTCACATATGCATTTAGGGTCATAATTGTAGGTCACTGACAAAGATCCATAATTCTATCTTGCATTTAGGCTGATTTTTCTCCCCTTTTTCAACTTAGAAATTCATGGTAAAGTTTTGCTTGTAAGCTGTTATCTCAATAACTACTGAAGGGTTTGTGCCTTTTTTGGGACAATTTTATGCATTCATAATAATAAAGCAGTGATTTACTTGATAAAACATCTTAATAAAAAGCCTGTGTACCTTTTCTGTCAAATTTATGTATTCATAGGTAATTAGTATTATTATACTCAATAAAACACCCTTGTGACATTACCTTCCGAATAGTCAAGCCAATACTGTATAATTAGACTCTCTCTAAGGCCTATAACATGAATTTATAAAAAAAAATTAGCCCTTTTGTGAACTTAAAAAATTTAACATTATCAAGGCTCTTTTACTATCAAGCACTTAGAATAGTCGAGCGTGCTGTCCTACAGACAGCTCTTGTTATAGTCTCCGCTCCCCTACGACGCGTTGCGGTATTCAAGATAAGCGCTTGATTAAACAGCTATCTAATCAAATCACTTATTGTTCTTTTTCTCTTAAAATATATAAAATACGAGAGTATAGCATGGTAATTAATTAATTTGTGTGTTAGAATTTATAAAGCTTACTGATATTTTCACTTCAAATGATTTTGATTATTTTAAATAATGGTTTGCTAGTAAAATTGCCGTTTTAACACCAACTTTGTTGTCATGTTTCATTTTAATGATAACATTTAGATATTGATCAGTAAGTAAATAAGAATAATATTTTTTTTTTATAATCACCAGTTTCATTTTACGCTAATTGTGAGACGAACCCTAACTGACGTGTATATGGGCGCCTCCATTTTGAAATAGACGTCACGTCAGATTACAACGCAAGTCAACGGGAAAAAATATAATTTTTACATTTTGACCATATTACTGACTTCATGAAAAAAATGAAAAACATGCCTAGAGATATTGACGTCAGGGTTAACATGACATTAATTTAAATGATTTTACTATTATATTAAATAAAAAATGGAATGTTCAAATTTGATGGGACAGACTATAGTAATATTCTGACTGAATAGTAAACAGTTCTGACCATGATCAGATGTGCATAGAAGTGCTGGCTGAATTTGATCTGCAGTGGATGCATAGGTAGAATCAGTTGCTGCTATTTGACTAAAGGTTAAATTTTGATAACTTTAATTTTAAGGGGAGCGGTGGCCTAGTGATTAAGGTGTCTGCCTCTCAACCAAGAGATCATGGGTTCGAGCCCTACTCAGGTCACGACTATGTTTCTTCATATGACACCAGTACTGGTTGGTTCCAGGAAGTGGCCTCAAAAGTGATTAATATAAGTTGCAAGAACTTGCTTGGCAATGGAACTTAAATAAATATGTTTAAACCAACAAATAACTTTTTTTTTTAAAGCTGGTTGCTGGCAGTGCGATACAGGCATTTGAGGAAGTGTGCCCGGAGCGTACCGACCTTATACATAAGAACTATCGTAAGTTGTGTAACCTGCTGGTAGATGTGGAGGAATGGGGACAAGTTGTCATCATCAACATGTTGACTCGTTACGTCAGGTCACAGTTCATTAACCCCAATGATGATGTAAGCCATTTTATCATGGTATATCTATACCTTTCAATTAATGCCATTTTATCATGTTATATCTATACCTTTTTATTATCACCATTTATTGACAAATCTGCCTTTTTTTCTAACTTTAAAGCATGATCAGCTGTAAAAATCAAGTCCTGGATTGGATACTTTGACATTCCTAACATTAAAAGTAAAAATATATGATAATTGGGAAGTTTTAGTCAATTTTGAGTGCACTGTTGTAGAATAATGAATGGTAAGAGTTCAAATGTGCAGGAATATAATCACAAAGGCTTGAGTGATTAATTACAAAGCATTTGAACCATAAACCATGCATTATTATACTGTAATGCAAGAAATATTAATATTTATTTCCATTCTAACATGCTATCAAAATAAGAATTGATAAAACTTTGTTTACTACAGTAATGTAGAAGTTATTTTCCTGACAACGTCATATGACGTGTCAGCATTCGTTTTTTATGCTTTACATATATTGCGTAATAATGCATTTAATTGTCTTATCTGTTTGGTTAGGGAATAGTGTGCAGCATGTAAGAATGATTGTTAAACCAACTTTCTTAATATATCTAGGACATTAGACTTTTGTGTAAAATTTTAGCATTTACATGGTTTAGTGCTTGTGGCTCATGTCGAACCTAAATAGGAATGATTTGTAAGTGTCTTTTTAATGTATTGTAACCTATATAACTAGCTCAACCAAGCTAAAGTGGTTCTTAGCAAGTCCCAAATTATATCCACAAACAGAAAAGCATATAATTGGCTGCGTGGCCGAATGGTTTATGTGTTGAACTAGTAATCTAAGGAATGCTGGCGGCGTAAGTTCTAACCTCATAAAGGCCAGACTGTTGTTTCAGTGAGCAAGAGTCACTACTACACTCATTGTTTATTACTTGTTGGTTCCAGGAACAGATTTGAGCGTGTTTCAATAAGCTTATTGCTTCCAGTACAATCAAACTAAACTAAAAGGAAAAGCAGCTGTATTGTTATCATTTGTTACAAATTAAGGGAATTTTTTTTTTGCTTTAATGGTCCCACTGAGCTTTAAAAACTTTGTAGAATGAATAAAACAATAAATTTTTAACATCTTTGTACAGAATGTTGGGGATGAGGTGGACAAACCATTTTACGAGTCAGAGAAGGACAGTAATGAAGATGAAGATGATGATGATGACGATGATGATAAGGCCAAGGCTAAAACAAAACCTAGACAATATATCATGGACTCTGATCATAGGCTTATTCTAAGACAGTGTAAACCCTTGTTGAACAGCAGAAATGCTGCTGTAAGTATTGTTTACCATTTCAATTAGAGATTATAAATAAATAGTAAAAAATAAGTAGTCAACTGCAAAAATTCACTTTAATATACCAACCTTTCGGCTGAACAGCTTTCTTCAGGGTACATAAATCAATAATAAACAAAAAGGAGGAATATTATGTCAGCATCGGAGATTACAAATACAAAGAATCAGAAAAATAAACATGCAGTAATTAAAGAGAAAAATGATAAAAGTTTTCCTTAATAGATATATACAAAATTATACTTCGGTGCATTGATCTAAATCTGTACATTACAAAACACGACAAAATGTAAAAGGTAACCATACAGTTAATTGTGATACATGTATAATAAACAGATGAAATCTTTTAAAATTAAATCCTTTAAAATTTTCATTAGAAAGGCCAATTTACAGTAATATCAACATAAAAAGCTTCATGAAAACCGTCCATATGAGCCGCGTCACGAAAAAACCAACATAGTGGGTTTGCGACCAGCATGGATCCAGACCAGCCTGCGCATCCGTGCAGTCTGATCAGGATCCATGCTGTTCGCTATCAGTTTCTCTACTTGTTATAGGGTTTGTAAGCGAACAGCATGGATCCTGATCAGACTGAGCAGATGCGCAGGCTGGTCTGGATCCATGCTGGTCGCAAAAACATTATGTTGGTTTTGTTATGGCGCGGCTCATATGTCAAAAACTTTGAGAGAAGTATTGATTGCTTGTGTTTTACTATTTGACAAAAATGTTACCTTAGTGCAGTAACGGGTTATCCCCTATTAACTTTAAATTGGATTTAATTTTTTAATGCAGGATATGTTAAACTAATGTATACTGACATTATTTCAGGTTGTGATGGCCGTAGCTCAGTTGTACCACCATTGTGCACCAAGGTCGGAGGTGTCCACGGTTGCCAGGTCTCTCATTCGACTCCTCAGATCTCACACGTAAGTTACTGCGAATTCACTTATATTCGTGGGCATGAAATTTCGTGGTTTTATCAAAATGGGAATTTTCGTGGGTTCTTAAATTCATGGATTTTCAATTTCTTGAAAAAAATAATAACCTAACGCAAAGTAATCTTACACTTAATCGCAGCGCATTTTACTTACCGCGTGTACATTATCTTTACGTATCACATAGCGCTTCAATAAATTCATTACACAAAAATCGGCGGAAAAAGCGCTGATGCATGTTTGTAATATATAGAATAGAGACATAGAAAGAAGTATTTATTGGGATAAAATTTCGTTGGATCTTAAATTTGTGGATTGACCTACCCACGAAAACCACGAAAATTCGTGCCCCACAAATAATAATGATTTTACAGTATTACTCCAAATGTTACATTTAGAAAATTTTAAAACATAAACATTCAAATGAATTGAGCATATTTACAATAAATGTATTAGTAAAACTATATCATATATAACAATATGGAAGTTATAGCGTTTTGTTCTTGTTTAATTTTTTTGAAATTTTTTTTAATAAGATTATCATATAGAAAAAATGCCCATTTAAATATACAAAGCTTACAAAAAGTTCACCAACATTTACTTCTATTTATTTCAGAGAAGTACAGTATGTGGTGTTAAGTAACATAGCAACGATGTCGTTGAAACAGAAGGGAATGTTTGAGCCGTTCTTGAAGAGTTTTTACGTAAGATCTAATGATGCCACCCATATCAAACTTCTGAAGTTGGAAATCTTGACGACTTTAGCCACAGAGACTAACATTGCTACAATACTTAGAGAACTACAGGTACGACAATTTATCCTGCTACTGTCTATAACATCAGCTGGATAAAGCCTTGCCGGATAAACTTATCTATCTCCAGTCTTTACGTCCCATGATGACGACGCATGTTTAGCAGCAAAACAAAACTTCATATTGATGCTATTTAATCGGGGAAAAAGAAGAATGAAACCATTT